CCCTCAATGTGCACACTGACTCTAAATACGCTTTCCATATACTTCTCTCGGACTCTGCTATTTGGACAGAGCCTGGATTCCTTACCAGCAAGGTAAGTTACTAATGTCCCCTTTATCTCTGATCTCCTTCCGGCCTCAAAGCTTCCCTCTGTCATGGGAATCTCACATTGTAAATCCCATCAGAGAGACACCTCCTGTGTGACACTCAGCAACAACAAGGCAGACTGAGGTGAGGGCCACCACCCTCCCACAGCCTCCTCCAAGGGGCCTTGATCTTCTTAAGGCCCCAAAAGGCAGACTTTGTCTGTACCTACAGGAGGAATGCTATCTTTATGTCCATCAATCTGCTACAGTAAAGGACAAGATAAAACAACTCCAGCGGGACCTTGGACATCAGCAACAATAGCTCTCCTCTGCTGAAGGATGGCAGCTAAGTAACCCCCTTTACCACTGGGCACTTCCTTTACTGAATGTTTGCCCCCTGTGTCATTGGATTGGTTCAAGACCAGATCCAAAAAATCTCTAAACAAACTATAAACCAGTTTTTGTTACAGAAATACCAATCCCTCACCAAATTGGGTGGTGGAGACAGCATTCCACCACCACTCAACCTCTGTCATCATTCTACTGACATCCTACAGCCCTAATGAGGGATTCAAATGCTGCCCCTTCCCAGCAGGAAGCAGTTACAGAATATTGAGCTACATCCCTGTTCCCAAAGGGGCCCAATAAAAAACAAAAATAGGGGGGAATATCAGGTCCTTGCTTAGCATCTGGACGGCCATTTTAAGTGGCAGCAGCCATTTTATGGAAAAAGTTTCACTTTCCCACCCAAGGGCCTTTCTGAGAAAGGCTCACCTCTCCCTCATACCAACTCAACCCCTGACCACCTGCATTAGGACCCACCCATCTCTGAGCTGGGCCCTGAGTCTGCCCCAGAAAGTCCCAGAACCCAAGCCTGGTTCGCCTCTCCGCTGTAGAGAGATGGCCTTTATTTGTCAGCTCCACACACAAACTTGCGTGTGTATCTCTGCCTGGTCTCCGTCTTTCATTTCTCGCTCACCCCTCTCCTGGTTCCTCACTTTCCCTTCAGGAAAGTATGGCCATTTGGAAACAAACAAAAAAGGGCAATAAGGGGGAAACACAAAGCCTATGTGTCAGAATGAGAGCCCAAAGTGTGTACACTTAAAGAAAATCTTTCATGTTTTTCTTTGAGCATAAGGAACAAGAAACGTCCCTGATGCTCCAGAAAAGGGCTGACCCTAAAATCAGAAAGTAAGCATGCTACATTGTCCTGCCCTCAAAACAGCAGATTCGGGCTGGGGATGTGGCTCAAGCGGTAGCACGCTCGCCTGGCATGCCTGCGGCCTGGGTTCAATCCTCAGCACCACATACAAACAAAGATTGTGTCCGCAAAAAACTAAAAAAAAAAAAATATTAAAATTCTCTCTTTTAAAAAAAAAACCCAGCAGATTCCTCTCTCAATAGGCAAAATACAACCTTTTTAAAGTCCTAAAGTAGAAGACAGAGATGGTGTGACAATCAAGTGATGGGTCTGTTTCAGGCCATATGCTCAGTGTCAGCTCAAGGTTTTGTCTGACTCATTGAGATAGTGGGAGATGTTGGGAAACATAAGGTCAAGGGTTTACACCAATTTCACACATTGCCAAAAATACCACAGTGTCACAGAAGTCACAGTGCTTCTGTGCATTCTCCTTACACTCATCATCACACGCCTTTATTCTCAGTGACTCTGGAGGCTGAGGCAGAAGGATTGCAGGTTTGAGGTCAGCCTCAGCAACTTAGTGAGACCCTAAGCAACTCAACAAGACCCTGTCTCTGAATAAAACTTAAAAAGGGGGGCTGGTGGTGTGGCTCAGTGGTTAGAGATAAACACCTGACACCCTGACAGAACAGAAAATAACACCTTTTTGAGATATCATCGATGGCATCAGAATAAGAATTACTGTCGGTACCAATCTTGAGGAAATTGTGCAAATAAATTCTGAAGAAGACGCTGGGCGTGGTGGTGCATGCCTATAATCCCAGCKGCTCTGGAGGCTGAGACAGGAGGATTGCAAGTTCAAAGCCAGCCTCAGCAACGGGAAGGTGCTAAGCAATTCAGTGAGACCCTGGCTCTAAATAAAATACAAAACAGGGCTGGAGATGTGGCTCAGTGCCCCTGAGTTCAATTCCTAGTACCAAGAAAAAATAAAATTCTGAAGAAAGGGAAGTCAGTCAAACAAGAAAAGCAAGGAGGCAGCCTCCATAGAGGCAGTGTTACAGAGGGTGAAGCCCAAGGTCCACATGGTGGTAGTACCAGACTTTTCCCTGTTGCAGGGGCAACGATGCTCTCCCTTTCCTAGCATCTTACTATCTCAATCCACAGGTGGCTGCTGCAACACAAGTATATATTCTTTTAAGGTAAAAATAGAATAGATTAGCCAGATGCAGTGTCACACGCCAATAGTTCCAGCGGCTCAGGAGGCTGAGGCAGGAGGATCTCAAGTTCAAAGCCAGCCTTGGCAACTCAGCGAGACCCTGTCTCAAAAAAATAAAGGGTTGGAAACGTGGCTTAGTGATTAAGCGCTCCTGGGTTCGATCCCTGGTACCCCAAACAAACACAACACAAGACAAAGACTTTTAAAAATAGAATATATTCATGATCATATCAAAATTTTCTTCAGATATCTCAAAGCTATTGAGAGTCATGATTCTATTCCTCCAATTAAAATAAGCGGGGACAAAGAAGTAGAGTCCTTTGGTTAGTGTATTAGTTTCCTATCAGACTGCTGTAACAAATTAGCATAAATTGGGAGGCTGAAAACAACGGAAAGGTGTTCTCTTATGGGTCTGGAGGCTGTAAGCCCACAGTCAAGGTGTAGGCAGTGCCTGCCCCCCCGACCCCGGAAGGCTCTAGGTGGTTGCTGCAGTCCTTAGTGTTCCTTGGTGACACTATCCCCCTGTCATGTGGGTCCGTGACTTCTCTTTTTGTGTGTGGGGGGAGGGGAGATGGGATTGGAAATGAAATCCAGGGTCACATCCCCCATCTTTTTTGTGTGGAGACAGGGCCTCACTAAATTGCCAAATCTGGCCTTGAACTTGCAATCCTCCTGCCTCAGCCTCCTGAGTAGCAGGGATTAGAGGTGTGTGCCACCGTACCCAGCTGAAATCTCTCTCTTCTTGTAAAGACACTAGTCATTGGATTAGGGCTCCAGCATGATCTCATCTTCCCTTGGGGGATTAAAAAGGACCTATTTCCAAATAAGATCAAATTCACAGGTATCGGAGTTGGGATTTGAACATATGGTCTATAGGGACTCAATGCAATCCATCACAGTGAGTTTAAAAGCAGGATATTGCTACCTCGAGTTAAATACACTTAAAACTACCAAAGGCCATAACTTTCAGACAAAAGGGAAGACAGCATGGTGTTTGGTGATGAAATAGTCAAGAATCTTTTTTCAGAGAAGCCCTCTAGGAGTTCTTCCCCTCCAGAGAGGGACACCATATAAAAACATTTTTGAGCCTCTATTTCTGTGTGGTAGGCACCATCAGTCTGATTAATACGATGTACATGACTGTTTTCTATTAGGGCTGTGGGAAATGAGAGGCAGAGCATCGAAGGAATGTTCTCATGGGTCCTAAGAGGGTCAAGGTAAGCTATAGATGGAGGCACCCTAATTCTGGTCCCAAGAGCAAGACTGCTGGTGTGGAAGGATGGGGAGGGGAGGCGGGGGACAGATGCTTCCTGCCTTCTCTCTGTACCTGCCACCGTGTATTGGAGCTGCTCTTTCCATTTGTGCAGTGTTGACTCCAGCACCTCAGCAAATTTCTGACCAATGGACAGAGTTAAAATAAGCCACTCATACAATATTCTACAACAGGGACCCATTGTCACGGAGGTCAGGTGGCCACCAGCTAAGCATTATTGTCCTGATCTGTACCATCCATTGTTTTGTTGTCGGATGAAACCATGAAATGTGAGCCTTCTTTCTGCATCTGGAAATAAACAACAAAACTGAACTCGGTCCCACGCTACCCCAGATGCCGTCTTTTCCCTCAACAGCCTTGTTTTTCCAGCTTCCCCTCAAAAACCATTTTATTCCCTCAATCACAACTATGTGCTAGCTTTAGCAAACTGATCACCCAGCGTCACAGCAGACAGCAGCTCTCTTTGTTCCTTTAGGATCTCCAAACCCTCCAGAGGCAAGTCCTATGGCCTGAAGATTTCATCTTCATGCAAGAGAAAAACAAATAACCAGATTTCTTCTATCTCTTCTGCCTTAAAAATGAAATTTTATGTGATTTATTTTTTCAACGCTAAGATAAACATGTAATCTTTCATATTCTCTCTCTCTCTCTCTCTCTCTCTCTCTCTCTCTCTCTCTCTCTCATCACACATTTAAAACCGTGTTTATTGAATATCTCGTTTTTCATTTGGGAGATGCCAGAAGAGCCTGAGGCCCTTCAGCCACGCTTATTCTGGAGGCAGAAAAAAGTGGAGCCCAAACCTGGAGCCTGAAAGTTCTCTTCGACACACAGCCCAGGCCAAGAACAAGATACTGCTGATTCCTTTTAGAAGTAAGTGAGGCTTCAAATCTGCTCAATTAAGGTTCAAATTCTGCTTCACTTCTCATAGGTGTCAACCTGGTCAGGTCAGGCCTTACTTCTGAGTATCCATGTCATACTACACAGGTGCCACAGACCAGCCTAGGGGCCACAGAAGGGATTTCAGCTCTGGCATCCTGGGATCACAGCCACGGCACAGCAGTAAGCCTTCTTCTCCATGCTGGGCCAGGGACCCAGGGAGTGGCAGTTGTCAGGAACTGGAAAGTCTKAGTTGCTTCTCCTTGCAGCTAACAAGGTAGCCCGGCAGTTTTATGACGCCAGTAGAAAACATAAAGACTCCCCAACTCCAGAAACTTGAGACCTGGGAAGACTTTCCCAACAGCAGGCCCAGGGTATTCAGCAACTGCCACACCTGGAAAGGCGCAGTTAATTGTCTGGAATTTCTATAACCTTGCTCTGGAGAGGGCAGGGCAAGGCCTCAAACCATTTCAAAAGTGTCCTGGCAAGCACCGTAGGAATGCAGCAGGGTCACTGCAGACCCCAGCACGCTGCAGGCTTGCTGTCATTTTCTCTTTTGACCTGTTTTGCTTGGCTCCCTCACCTGCTGTTCTGAATTATTTTTATTGCCTTCTTTGTCCTTGGAATTTTCCTTGTCTCCCATTTTCTTTCTCCAGCTTCCTAGTTGTCCCAGCTGCTTGCCTGTCTCTTCCTTATGGTTCTCTCTAGAATCAGAAAAGCATAGACATTTAAGGTGAAAAGGGACTTTCAGTTCTTTTAGCAGCATCATTTTATAGATAAAGGGCTAAGACTTAGAGAATTTAAGGAATTTGCTGAATGCAGTTTGTTTGTGGGAGGACCCAGCGGCAGAACCCTACTCATAAATACTTTGTCATGGCTTCAATTCTATTTTTTTTTTTTTTTTTTTTTGTAGCTAATGTCACATCCAGAGAGGAAACTTTCCCAGCCGGGCCCTGCTGGCTCATCTCTTGTGCTGCACAGTCATGTCAAATGCAGCCGCTGGGTCATCAAGGATAGACCTAGAAGCTATTGTGGTGCATAAAATCTTAGAGGAGTCATTTTTCCGAGTAGGTAGCAGACAATTTCATACAAGCTTATGAAATGTGGCACCCTTATTATTTRACTGTATGGAAAAGAGAAATATAAAGAAGTGAAGAAAAGGGGAAATTTCTGTACAGTATTACCAATAGTGAAAGTATTGCGAAAGCAAAAGGAAGTGAAATTATACAAGTCAAAAATACACTCATGATCTACTCATAGATTTCCCTCATGATCACAATCTAATAATAGAACATTGAGGCCGTGGGTGAACAAGTAATGTTTATCAACACAAGAAAGATGAGGTTTTCTACCAATAGAATAGGATTGAATTTTTGTCAAATTCTGTGCCCCAGCAGCCCCCCACACTTCTTTTATTTTAGTTTTCTTTTTAAATATTTTTCTGTGGTACAGAGGATGGAATCCAGGGCCCCACATATACTAGGCAAGTGCTTGACCACTGAGCTACAGCCCYAGGCCTTTTAATGTTATTTTGAGACCGGGTCTCACTAAATTGCTCAGGCTGGCCTTGAACTTCAATCCTCCTGCCCCAGCCTCCCATTTTCCTGGGATTACAGGCATGTGCCTCCATGCCTGGCTTCCCACAGTTCTCGATGCATCCTAAATACTTAATGCACTTTGTCTAATAATATTGACCCCCCAAAATAGGTTGTCTACAGAAAGTCAAGTTAGAAGATTGAGTCAATTCTGGATTTAGGGTTCTTTTAATGCCAACATTCTATAATTTTAATTCTGAGAAGCAGCACCAAGAATATTACTAGTTAGAGMGGCAGAGGGAGTAGCTTGGTGGTAGAGCACTTGCCTACCATGTGCTGGGCCATGGGTTCAAACCCGAGCACCATACACACACAAAAAAAGGAATATTGCCAATTAGTAATAAAGAACCCCTAGTGATGAGCTCCCTCCATTCACTAGATGTTGAGTTGTTTGTGTAGAATGGGTATGATTCTAATTCTTTGTTTGCAAGAAACTGTAGCCAAGTCAACCTAACTTAAGCAAAAAGATAATTTATCGTGTGGCACAAATGTGTACCATGAATCACCTCCCTTACCTTTCCTAGCCTCCTTAGAATTCATTTGAGGCCATGATGGGACTAGATCTAGCCAATGGACTGCAACATACAATACTGATGGTACCTCCTTGAAGACATTGTACAAAGTGAGATAAGTCACAAAAGGACAGACATTATATAATTCACCTATATGAAGTCAGGGAGGATGGATAGTTAGCATTTAATGAACACAGTTTCCATTTGAGATGATGAAAAATTCCAGAGATGAACGGTGTCATGGTTGCATAACAACATAAAGACCACTGAACCGGACACTTAAAAAGGGTTAACATGGTAAATTTTATATTATGTATATTTTGCCACATTTTTTTTTAAAGTAAGAAGCAATGTAGGGAAAGTTTATATGGCACTGAGTAAGGAGAGAGAAAAATATGTTGGTCTTCCTCATCGTGAAGAGTTTGCCCAGATGCTTTTCAATCTGTAACAAGGTATTGCTTCGTAGCCCAGGCTGGCCTCAAACTTGCTATTTCCTGCATCTGCTGGGGTTATAGGTATGTGCCACTGCATCCAGCTAGGGTGAAATACGGTGACCAATACAATGCAGGTCAAGCACATGGTCCGGCCCAGGGTGAGCACTCAGTACCTATTGCTAACACTGTCTTGAACCTGAGGGCACAAGTGTGGCTCGGCCTCCCGTTGGCCTGGAACCAAGAGTGAGATCCATCCAGACTGTTAGACTCTACCTCTGCCTATATTTGACCATCTGTTTTATTTTCCCCAGACAGAAACTGGTTTTCTCTGCTTCTCTCTCCTGATGATAAATAGAAGGTCACGATCCCACAACCCATAAATTAATTTTTCCTCAATTCAGGAGAGAAGTTCAGGTATTGGCTTTTAGTCTGATTCCCTAAAATCTCAATCCTTTGAAAAGAGTATTATTGGTTTAGCCTGGGTCAAGTGTCCATTTGTAGTCCAATAATATGGTCACTGGAGAAGAGTCCTGCCACGTTTGGCCCCTGCTAAGTGGGCCAGACAGTCACCCCAGGCCATCCTCAGCAGCCTCCTCCAGACATGTACTCCCAGATTGATTCTGGTAGTTAGAATATGATTTCAGAGGCGCCAGATAATAACGGCTTGAACAAGGGAGAATAGTCCATTTTACTCCCTTAAATTACCGTAGCTATACAGCTTAGAACTTGTATGCTGATTGTAGTGAGATGAATAGTATCTCCCCAAATTCCATGTCCACCCAGAGTCTCAGAATGCAACCTTATTTGAAAAGAGGGTCTTTATAGATGTAATTAGTTAAGGATCTCAAGATGAAATCATCCTCAACTTAGCATAGACCCTAAATCTGATGACTGTCATCTTCAAAGAAAAGGACACAGACACCCAAAGAGGGCCAAGGGAAAGTGGAGTCAGAGATTGGAGAGACACTGCCACAAGCCAGAGAACATCCTGGCCACCAGAAGTTGCAAGAGGCAAGAAAGGATCGTTCCTTAGTGTCTTCAGAGAGCCATGGCCCCGATGACACAGAGGCACATCAGGTTCCGAGCTGGCAGCGAGTGAGCCAGAGGAAGGCCACCAAGGCTGGGCTGAGATCCTGAGGAATGGGGAGCTGTCCTTTTTTCAAGCAGAGATTTGCTCTAGCATAGTTAACATGGTGGTGATACACAGGACTTCTTTTATTATAAAATGAACATGGTAAGAACTATTTGATAGGGTTGTTGGGAGGATGSAGTGAGACAGCAGTGCTTGGCCCATGGAGGGTGCCCGGTGAACAACAGCTGTTATTACAGAGGAGAAAGCCTGGGATGCATGCGTCAGTTCATTCATTTATCTAGAAAATGTCTGATGAGAGCTCATAGTGCCAGGGTTAAGGGTCTAGGGAGTCCCCCCACCCACTAGGATTCATACCAATAGAATGTATGTCCARGGAACTCGATATCATAATGCAAAGCTTTGGTAAGAAATGGATTTGAAAATGGCTTAAACCCCAGGCCTAAGGGAGACCTAGTCCTCCTGCCTCTTCACTGAACTGAATAGCAGAACTCCCAGAACGAGGGTCATCGAACCCACCCATCCAGTCACAGTGGAGAAACTGGAATAAAAAGAATAATAGTTCCCCATCTCTCTCCCGCAATGGGGTGCCCTGCCACAGGGTGGGCCAAATACACAGGAGCACCCTGAGCACAGGAAGTGAAAGAAGGTGGACCTCTGGGGCYTTGCCTTTAAGAACAGTTACCCTGCCCAATGATGGGAGTGGTACAAGCAGAGGGTCACCTCTCAACTGGCAGAGAGCAATTAAAAGGAAGGAGAAGGGTAATGGAGACATTTTCTCTGATATTCTTCCAAATGGGAAGAGAAGCAGGAACCTTCTTCCTTTTGTTCTCCGACTAAAAGAAACTACAATTTTATCTGGTTCTCTTTAAGCTGAGAGATATTTGAAAGTTGGGGAGGATGTTCCTGGAATAAAGAGGAGGAAATACAAAGACATGGTGCACAAAAGAGCCTGAGTTTCTTTTGTCTGCCATGTAGCCAGTGTGCGGGGGAGACAACCGGAAGAGTGTCTAGACAGGTGGGCAGGTACAGGATGGTTTTTCAAAACTGACTAATTTGAAGAAAGGTATCATCTGAATCTAACAGCAAACATGGTRTTCATCCATGAAATGCCAAAGACATTCTCATTAGGTGAGGGAACAGGAAAGGAAGTCTGTCATCTCTGAGAGCATTCTGCCTTTTTTGCTAGACAATGTAATAACACAATAAATAGAACAGGATCCATAATAATTAGAAATGATAGGACAAAATTATCTGATTGCCTACCTCTTGCTTTTTTACAGAAGAAGCTGCACKGAAGATTTTATTCATCTTCTAGACTTGCCAAATCTAATATCTGAAAAATRAGTCTTACCATTTTCATTTTATAGAAAAGAAACTTCTATATATCATTAGCATGTCAGTTTTGCTAGAACAAATCTCTGCTTTAAAAAAGTAATAGTTCCCCATTTCTCACTAATAAGCTTAGGCTTATTAATCTGCGAGGATTGCCATAACAAAACACCACAATACTGGTGGCTTAACAACAGGAATTCATTTTCTGCCATGGTTATGGAGGCTAGAAATCCAAGATCAATGTGAGGCCAGCTGAGTTTCTCCTGAGGGCTCTCTCCCTGGTTTGCTGAAGGCCTTTTCCCTGTATGGTGCATCTATTGTGCCTCTTCCTCAATTTTTGTTTTTTGTTTTGTTTTGTTGGTGGTGGTGGTGGTGGTGAAGGTGGAGATGGTACTGGATATTGAACCCAGGGCCTCACATATGCTAAGCATATGCTCTACCATAAGACTACAGCCTCATCCTTATGACCTCATTTAACTTAATTACCTTTTTTTTTTTAAAAAAAAAAAAAAAAAGAAAAACCCTTTTAAGAAGATTTTTAAAGTTCACAGCAGAATTGAGAGGAAGGTACAAAGATT